ACACGAGAGTCAGACCTGACTACCCAGAGACCAGGGGGAATTTCAAGTCCACGTGAAACAATCCCAGCCCTTATATACTAACATACTGCTGAATACTAAAACCATATAACTACATTTAGACGAAATAAAAGAACATATTTCCTGGTTTACCCTCCGGAAAATAGTCGAGTACCTATTATGATAACGCTCTTCGTAATGCCAGGGTGCCCGGTTCGATACCAGCTGCGGGCCCTGCGCCTTGCGTTGGTTTCGACAGCGGTATCGAAAGCAATGGCAAACTACTGGACGTAAATTTGTCCAGGAAAAACCAGAACAGCTCAAAAGTGCTAGGATTGGTTCTGCAACGTCCTGTAAAGTATACGCAACTATCTAACCTCTAGGATGGTACTGAGAAGGAAGGAGATGTAATCGTTTGGAATGAGAGTATCCTTTTAACAACACTTCAGGAATCTCAAGTTCTAGTGCCTTTTCTCTCTTTACTTATTATTTTGCTACTTGGACTTGGTTAGGGTTGATTGAGGAGGGGGCCGCGTTAGCGCAGTCGATGGGAGACTGGCTTTTAAACCCAGCTGCGACTCGCTGCAGCTCACGGCCGGTGTTCGAAACCAGTGGTCCCCGGGGTTCACCCAGCCTCTAGATAATGGGTACCAGGGTTAACACTCTCGGGTAAATGAAGGAACGTCGCTGTAGCTACGGAGTAGCGTGCGGACGGCGACACAGGCGGACACTTTCTTATCATCTGTCCGTATTGGTGGCAGAGCACTTATCGTTTATAACCGTATGCTATTACACTGGCTCACATCTCCCGACTTTACTTCACTTTGCCTAAGCTTAGCTTTGCTTTGCTTTACTTTAATATACTACTTTACTTTACTTCACTTTGCTTTGCTTTACCTTGCTTCGCTTTACTTTACTTTACTTTAGATTACTTTACTTTGTTTTACTTTACTTTGCTTTATTTTTTTATTTGTTTTGCTGTCCTGTGCTGTGCTTTGCTTTACTTTGTTCTGCTTTGCTTTGCTTTGCTTTACTTTGCTTTATTTTTACTTTACTTTGCTTTACTGTACTTTGCTTTACTTTATTTTTACTTTACTTTACTTTACTTTTAGTGAGCCAGCCGGACTCTCTGGTTTCACCCAGGTGCCTCATTCTCTCCATGCCATATTAATCTTCTATCTCTACTGATTCCGTTGCTTGTTCCTAAAGGGCCCTGACCACATCTGCCTTTTCATGTATCAGTTCACCACCCAGTGGTGCGGATCCAGCCAATCTGTCTGCCTGTTCACTACCCCCTACGCCGGCATTGTCTGGAGAAAAGATCCAAAGTATGCCCACTAACTTTCCGATGAAGCTTGCCACTCTGCTCGAAGCATCCCTGTCAGTAAAATAATAATAACAAGAGGAGAAGAGAATAATAATAATTATTATTATATGAAGAAGAATCAGAAAGTAAGAATAAGAATATGAAGAAGTAGAAGAAGCAGAGAATACAAATTATAATAAATATAAGAAGTAGCAGTGAATGGTAACAATAATTACATCAACAATAATAATAATAAGCAGATAATAATAATAATAATAATAATAAGAATATGAAGCAGAAGCAGACAAAAAGAATAAAAATAAGAAGAAGTAGAAGATTCAGAGAATAAAAATTATAATTAGTATATTAGGAAGAAGTCGAGAATAATAATAATAATAACAACAATAATAATAGGCAGAAAAAAATAAATAAGAAGAAGAACTTGAAAAAAAAAGCAGAAAACAATAATAATTAATAATAATAATAATAATAATAATAATAATAATAATAACAAGGAGAACAACAATAAAAGCAAAACCCCGGAAAACACGGATCCCTGCCCAGACTTCGCAAATAGACTTGCCATGTTTTCACATTTTTATGATCTTCAAATTATCGTTAGAGTGTGGAGTTCATTTGATATTTCTGGTAATTGCGAGGTTTTATTGAATTTCGCAAATGAAATGACGAAGAAAAGAATTCGAACAGGGTCCTGATAATATCTGACGCGAGTTTCCTGTACACACAATAGCACAAATAAATATGGTGGTAAAAATGTTCAAGATAACGTGTTACTGATTAAAAACAACAACAACACAAAAATGAAAACAACATGGTATTCTAATTATCTGAAAATAAATTACAACCTAACAGGAAGCCTCAGTGCCATAGTGATATATGCGCATACCTGTTGAGAGAGTGATTAAAAAGAAGAAGAAGAAGAAAAAGGAGAAGCAGCAGCAGCAGCAGGAGAAGAAGAAGAAGAAGAAGAAGAAGAAGAAGAAGAAAGAAGAAGAAGAAGAAGAAGAAGAAGAAGAAGAAGAAGAAGAAGAAGAAGAAGAAGAAGAAGAATAAAAAGAAGATATTAGTAGTAGTAGTAGTAGTAGTAGTAGTAGTAGTAGTAGTAGTAGTAGTAGTAGTAGTAGTAGTAGTAGTAGTAGTAGTAGTAGTAGTAGTAGTAGTAGTAGTAGTAGTAGTGGTAGTAGTAGTAAAAGTAGTAGTAGTAGTAGAAGAAGAAGAAGAAGAAGAAGAAGAAGAAGAAGATAATGAGGCAATCATGATTTGATGAAGGAGAAACAACAGCAGTAGAAACAACACCAGCACTGGTAGAAGCAGCAGCAGAAGCTAAAGGTTAAAAAAAAAAAAAAGATAGATTGATTCTGTAATTAAATTTTGTTTACAAATGAGTATACCTTGATATGTGCTAATTTATAGCAGTTCACTTCTAGTATACAAGATTTGATATCATGGTTCAGACACTAGAGTCTAATTACAAATTAGCCACGTCTGAACGCACTAAGAACAAATTTAAAACAACATTTAATTGCACGAGAGGTAAGCCCACTTGCGTCCTGTTAAAATAATTATAGGAGTAATGTTTTTGTTTTGTTTGGTTTCTTGTGTACCGCCACTTTCAGCTTTGTTTCGTGTATGTGCCAGCGGGTGTTGGTTCAATGGTCAAAATGGAGGTTAACAATTTCGATTCTTCTTGTTTTTAGGACTCACCATCTGTAAGCCCTAGAGAAAAGTTTAGGTTGTTCGCCCATGTCTGGACTTGTATTGTTCCAGAACTTAAGCTTTGCGTGCACAAGTGTTTAACAGATATGTTTTTTTTGTGTGTGTGCAGAGGTCTGGTTTCTTGCCTCTCACGCAGATGCACTCGACTAAGAAGAAACTCAAAATCGATTACATCCTTTTTTTTTTTAAACCCTAAAGTAGGAGATCAGAACCCATACGGGGTGGGTTCAATCTAAATGTAAGTGGTCTTGCAGTAGGCTATTCTGAGTTGATGTAAACGATATAAGCGTCGTAAGCAGTGATAAACTACCCCGTGTGGATTCAGGGTCGCATTGAGGGGGAAAACAATAACATATCCCCTGCCTCCCCAACAAGCATGTCGTAAGAGTCGATAATTAGGGTCTCTCTTCGAAGTCTGAGTGCATTTGCATGTGAAGCAAGGAACCCACACAAAATTAAGCATAGAATTAAGTCAGACCTGTTAAACGGATGTGCACGCAACACTCGGATTCTGGAACAAGATCAAAGTCCAGAGGTGGACAAACAACCAGAACTTTCCTCGGGAGTTTACAGCCGGTGAACGCGATGAAAAAGAAAACTACTTTAGGTAACGTCGAGGTTGCTTTACAACGTTCTCTAACGGACATGCAACTTAACTTTAGCATATAGCACTCTTGTTGCGTTTCAGTGTATTTATTAATTCCATACTTTATGTATTAACTCTTACCTTTTAACATACACTCCATTATAAATGTGGCGTTAATTTTTCTTTATTATTACTGCTTGCTGTACCCCACCAGGACATCAGACAAGAGATAAACACCCGGTGACACAAGGTGCCACCATGTGGATGAGGATCACCCATGGAGAGGTCCCAGAAATCCCGTTCAGCCGTTATGACCACATTTGTGGCCTAGTTATATTCAGGGCCCCCGTCAAAATCCAGGGATGGGCTTCAGATAAAGGAAAACTGCAACCCACAATAGGATGACTAGGATATTCACAATTATTATTACACATTTTCGTAAACTTGTATATGATCTGTGTGAATTCCAGTGCAATATTTGGGGACAACAACAGATGCACTGTCCCCCTAACAAGCATGTGTTAGTAAATAGTTATAAATAACAACAAAACGTGTAAAACGGTCTCTTAAAAACGAACGCTGAAGAAGAAGAAGAAGAAGAAGAAGAAGAAGAAGAAGAAGAAGAAGAAGAAGAAGAAGAAGAAGAAGAAGAAGAAGAAGAAAAAGAAGAAGAAGAAGCTGTAATGATTATAATTGTTGAAGCTGAGATGATGATGATGACGAACAAACAAACGAATAACGAACGAACTTTTACCCCGAATAGGATCACAAACTAGGCACCCAGGCCCGTCTTACATTCAGCCCTTCTAAACACTAACCTTTCATACAACAATGGTATTTTATCTATAAGTCATCTCATGGTGCTGCTGATGGTTATGATGATATTAGGGCTGGTGATATTAATGTTGATAATAATGATGATGCTAGTTATGATGATGACATTTATGATGGTGATAGTAATGTTGCTTTTAATTATGATATTAATATGGATGATGATATTAATGGTGATGATTATAATGACAATGATAATAATTTTGATAGTAATGATGATATTAGTGATGACAATACCGATGATATTAGTGGTGATGATAATATTGATGATGATGATGATATTGATGATGATGACCATGATGATATTAATGTTGATAATAATGATGATGATTATAATATTGAAATTAATGATGATGTTAATTAAATTAACGATGATGATGATGATGATATTGTTAATATTAACGACGATGATGATATCGATGATGACCAGGATGATATTAATGTTGATAATAATGACGATATTGATGATGATTATAATTTTACAATTAATGATGAAATTAACGATGATGACGATGATAATATTAATGATGACTAATCACTTACCACGTTCCAGTGAGGATAAATGGAGTCCATGACGACGTACATGAGCAGACTAGCAAAGCCTTCGTTGAGCCAGAGATCGTCCCACCACTGCATGGTGACAATGTTACCGAACCACTGCAGAGGGAGAGAGAAGAAGCAGCACAAGTGATTGTCATTGCTGGGTCAGGAATGTTGAATGCTGAATTTGGAATCGACGTCACAGCACTCGGGACACTCCCATAAGTGCTCAGTCCCTATCAACAGCAGCAAACGAAGAGTTTCAATTCCGATGGTACTAGCGCTGGGACCAGAAAACGTGAACAGTTACAACAGCGGTCTCCGATCCTTTTCAGGTCTGGCCTGGCTTGCTTCGCGAAAGAAAAAAAAATGGGCACGTTTAGCCAGCAACCCTGAAGGTGAAGCTTTAGGTTATAATTGTGACTAGGTTATGTGCGCCAAATAAAATAGCTTATCATTGCTCGCCGCCCAGTAGCCAGAAAAAACTCTTGCAGTGTTGATGCGAACAAACGAGGTTAGTTGCGTATCCTGTACAAGACGTTGCAGAACCAACTCCAACAGCCCCTGGCTGTTGTGTGGTTTTTCTAGGCAAATTTACGTCCAGTAGTTTGCCATTGCCTCTGGACGGTCGGCTTTCTTTATATCACTTTTCGAAACCAACGCAAGGCTCATGGCCTGCGAACCGAACAAAGGAGACAGAACCAAAATAATGTCCCGAACTGTGACGAAGTCGTCTACCGGCCAGTCAATGGGTGACCCAATTTTTCAGGTGGCGCCCCCTTAAGTTTATGACAAGACTCTCCACGCCACTTGAAAAAAAAACACAACAGGAAGCAAGGGTCGTTATAGCGTTAAGTGGACCTGTTTACGTTTCTCGGCCCATCTACACATCTTCTGAGTCTGATATTTGTCAGAGGGGTGTCAAGTTGTACTGCTTTCTTTGAAGAGACTCTCTCGAGCGACCTAGGCTCAGGCTGTGTTTGGGGGCGGGGGGTTTGGATATTCACAGTTCTAGATGTTTTGGGGTCGTTCAAAGATGTGTCTTCGTATCGTATAGAACATGCGACATCAGCGCTTCTGTAAATAGAGGCAAGACAAGGTAACACCACTCCGACGTAGAAGAAAGTATGACTAAAATGTCAGGTAGTGTGTAGGTGGGCTGGGAATCATGTACGTATAGAACATGCGACATCAGCGCTTCTGTAAATAGAGGCAAGACAAGGTAACACCACTCCGACGTAGAAGAAAGTATGACTAAAAGGTCAGGTAGTGTGTAGGTGGGCTGGGAATCATGAACGTATAGAACATGCGACATCAGCGCTTATGTAATAGAGCAAGACAAGATAGCACCACTCCGACGTAGAAGAAAGTATGACTAAAATGTCAGGTAGTGTGTAGGTGGGCTGGGAATCATGAACGTATAGAACATGCGACATCAGCGCTTATGTAAATAGAGGCAAGACAAGATAACACCACTCCGACGTAGAAGAAAGTATGACTAAAATGTCAGGTAGTGTGTAGGTGGGCTGGGAATCATGAACGTATAGAACATGCGACATCAGCGCTTATGTAAATAGAGGCAAGACAAGATAACACCACTCCGACGTAGAAGAAAGTATGACTAAAACGTCAGGTAGTGTGTAGGTGGGCTGGCAATCATGAACGTATAGAACATGCGACATCAGCGCTTCTGTAAATAGAGGCAAGACAAGATAACACCACTCCGACGTAGAAGAAAGTATGACTAAAATGTCAGGTAGTGTGTAGGTGGGCTGGGAATCATGTACGTATAGAACATGCGACATCAGCGCTTATGTAAATAGAGGCAAGACAAGATAACACCACTCCGACGTAGAAGAAAGTATGACTAAAAGGTCAGGTAGTGTGTAGGTGGGCTGGGAATCATGAACGTATAGAACATGCGACATCAGCGCTTCTGTAAATAGAGGCAAGACAAGGTAACACCACTCCGACGTAGAAGAAAGTATGACTAAAAGGTCAGGTAGTGTGTAGGTGGGCTGGGAATCATGAACGTATAGAACATGCGACATCAGCGCTTCTGTAAATAGAGGCAAGACAAGATAACACCACTCCGACGTAGAAGAAAGTATGACTAAAATGTCAGGTAGTGTGTAGGTGGGCTGGGAATCATGAACGTATAGAACATGCGACATCAGCGCTTATGTAAATAGAGGCAAGACAAGATAACACCACTCCGACGTAGAAGAAAGTATGACTAAAAAGTCAGGTAGTGTGTAGGTGGGCTGGGAATCATGAACAGGACCAGATTTATATAAGTAGAAGATTATTTGGTTGTTAATAAATGCTTCTGAGGCCCCACTGTGTGGCGAAACGCAAAGGTCCCCTGTAACCCATGACATGCCTGTTGTAAGTGTCGACTAATTAGGAGTTTTCCTTTGAATTCGGAGCACACCGGCCTGAGATGAGAGGAAACAATGGTCAGTTAAGCCAAACTCTGGTTCTAGAACAAGACCAGTTCAGAAGTGGACGAACAGTCAGAACTTTCTGCTGGAGTTTGCAGCCGGTGAACGCGAAGAAGAAGAAGAAGAAGAAGATGATGATCATGATGATGATAGTAATGTGCTGAATGACATATATGTACAGGAAAACCTCATTAACAAGAACCCGCTTAAGACGAACACTCGGTTAACATGAACAAAAGTTTGATTCTAATAGGGATGCATTATTCGTACAGTGGGACTCCAATATACGTCCACGCGAGTATTCGTCCTTGGGGGGGGGGGGGGGGGGGGATGTGTTAAGGGAGGGTAAGGAGGGGGAGGGGGGTTCGTCCAGTTTTGTTGTTGAAATATTTGTTTGATATTCACCGGAAAACTCAATGTTCGTCCTTCCTTCTACGTGGCCGGCAAGACACCAGGAGAAAAGAAAAACGAATGATGGGACAGTTCCAGGTGCTAAAATTAAGAAAACTTTCTTGTCATTGACCCCCTGGCTGCCACGAGATACGAAGATAAGTGATATTGTGTATATGTGTAGTATTGTTTAATCTATGTATGTGCTGAAGACGGCTCCATATCCGCAACGTTCACGATTTGTTTTGTGTTTATTATATTGTGAAGCTCGCTGATATACTTTTCTTTCGGTTTTAAATATGTCCATTCAATTAAAGAATGGCTTTTAAATTAGTCAAAAATACAGTTTTTAATCGAGAAATGGCACCTAATCATCGTTTTAGTTGATTAGAGTATCATTTCAATGAGAATGCGTTGTAACACTTTCATCATCGCCTTCATCATCATGTGCCCTTCCATCTGGCATAGACGCTCATTCGTCTCCACGGATGACCATCCCTGGTTGCCTTAAACAGCTCTCTGGATGATAACCTCCATGCCATCGTTTTAGCCCATCCAGCATCATCTCTCAAAGTTTGCCTCTATCCCTTTTTTCTCTGATCTTTTCAATTGTCATGATGTTCTCCAATGCCTCTCTTCTCCTTACGTGGCCAAAGGACAGTGTTTGTATCTTTCTTATTGATGCACATACTTTTTTTTTTAACTATGGGTGGAGGTGTTTTGTAATGGTGTGAATTCCCGGGGAAATCTCAGAGAGTTCCTGACTGGGGGGAATAAGGTCAGAGGACCAGTGAAACAAGACATTAGTGTGGAAAGCATGTCTCGAGTATCCCGTGGTGAGTGAATAGGGATACGAGGAAAGCATGAGACTTGAACAGAAGGTGTGAACCCAGAGAGGATAGGATGTCAGTTGAAGTTTGGACCTGGATGTGTGCGGTTGAATGCAAAAGAACAGCTGAAAAAAATGCAGACCGTTTTACCACATGTAATTTTTCGAGAGCATAAATGAATGTCTACTGACTGCAAGTTTCGATTGTGTCCAGGTACAAGGAACAAGATGTTAGCCTGATCCAGATGTATGGTCCGAAAGGTTATGGTAAAGAGAATCACCGTGTGAGATAGTTGAAAATATCATAAATCAGCCATGCGTAGCACCCACGAGAACACAAGTGAGCGACTTGATAGTGCGACTGTTGGAACAGCGAATAAAGATTAATAACTACATGTTCGTCGTCTGATGTATTCCTAGTACCTTAATATAATTAACAACGTCAGTATAGCAATGTGACGAGTGTAATCAAACCCTAGACAGAGCCACATTGCACCCGGTAAGGGCTGGGATTTTTTCACGTAGACTTAAACTTCTAATAATTCTCCTGGTCTGTGGGGTAGTCAGATTGGACGCCCGTGTGCGTTGTTGTGCACTTAAAAAATTCATTGGCAGTTGATAATCGAAAAGATTAGCCTAACGGCGCTGCCCGAGCAAAAATGTGGAGTTAAAAATCTAACCAAAGTATTTAAGGATCCTCGCCGGTGCTACAGAGCCTGTGTACTGTGCTGAGCTTCTTCGGACTCAGACTTTAGTTGAAAAAGAACAGATCACTCATGGGGTACTACCCGTGTGCCATGATGTTGATCCGTTGTTCAAACCTCAAACCTCAGTGCCAGCATTATATGTCTGAACTACATTTCTTCGTGTACCGGCCGGATCCCTCGTCACTCCTAGCTGTATCACTCTCAACAAACTGTGATGATCAATTTGCTGTTCCGAATTGTACACGTGAAGGTCTTTACCACATCTGCCTTGCCATGCATCCATATTCCACCAAGTTCATTTCCCAATACAGCAGCATTCCTCAGAGAAAAAAGATCCAGACAATGCTTTTCCTAATGCTCTATAAGGACCTTTGTGTTTATGTGTGTAAGGAAGGTCACTTAGCCTTGTTACTTAACAAAGAACACACAATGCCTCTGTTCTAGACGTATGAATGTTATTTGTTTTCATTGTTGTTTTCGTTTACTGTGTCCTCATTGCCACTGTGTGTTACTTTCGTTGTTCGTGGTCTCAACTATGACCTGTGTGGATGCACTGCTCTTACTTCGTGACTTAGCCCTTGACATGAATTTCCTTGACCTGTCAGTATTGCTGCATCTAACCCTATCTATAACCTTAAAGCTAGAGGTTTCACGGCACACGGCTAGTAACCCATAAGTGCTTCGTTCTTTTTCTAACTAAAGTCCGAGTCCGTAAAAGCTCAGCACAGTGGGTGGATTTTTAACCCTAAATTTTGCCCGGGCAGCGCCGTTGTACTACTATTTTCGATTTCCAACTTCCACTGGATTTTTTTTTACGTGCCTAACAATACACACGGGAATCCGATCTCACTACCCAGAGACCAGAGGGAATTACTAGTAGTCCAAGTCCCCGTGAAAAAATCCCAGCCCTTACCGCGGATTGAACCCAGAACCTCTAGCACTCGAGGCGTACACCATGCCTCGAGACCAGGCAGCCCTCCATCCTAACGCTTGAACAGACGTTCACAGAAAACAGTTGCCCACTTCCTCCTGGGTTGTCGAATACCGTCCCAAAATGGGACGCAATGTTTTGTTATTGTAATACCCCACCCCGCTGCTGACGGGAGCCTTGATTGAACCTTACAGTTAAAAGCGAATTTCTGAAACTTTCCACGGGTGATTCTTGTCTGAATGGTGGCACTTTGTGTCACCGTGGTGTTTATCGTTCGGTGTGCTGTCCTGGTGGGGTTGAACTTTATTCATTCGTTCGCCTGGGAGAAAAAGCAACACACCGTGTCGACCGGACTGACGAAGTCAAGACACTTTTTTGCGCCGATGTATACACACGGTGTCGGCGCCTGGGGCTTAGTTGTTGCGACGCGCTTTGTAATGTCGGGGTGCCGGGTTCGATCTCTGCTGCGGACGGTTTGTCTTGTGATGTTTTCGGGACCGTGGTATCGAGAGCCAACCATCAGGATGCATTGGCAATCTACTAGACGTAAATTTGCCTAGAAAAAAAAATCCATAAAGTGCTGGGTTTGGTTCTGCAACGTCCTGTAAAGGATACGCAACTAATTTTAAATACACCAGGGCGAACGAAGCCATGTCATGACACCCCTAGAGTATAGGACTGTCCCGCGGAATTTCCTCAAAAATTGTACGCAAGACGAGATGGGGGGAAAAAGATGTATGGTACAATTATTTCGAATTAATTACTTTCTTTTTTAAATTCATCCTTATCATAATCATCACCATGCGCCCTGCCAGTTGGCGTAGGCGCTCATGCGTTTCCACAGATCACGATCTCTGGTTGCCTGGAACAGCTCTCTTGATGATATCCCTCTATGCCATCGTTTCAGCCCACCCAGCATCATCTCTGTTGATCTTCCTCTACCTCTTTTTCCGCTGATCTTTCCAGTTATCACGATATATTCCAATCCTCTCTTCTCTCTGAGTTGACAAAGAACAGTGTTTGTCTTCTTCTTATTGGTGCATACAGAGATCTACTTTCACAAGTTTCTTTCAAAAATCGTTGTTAGTTAATCTGGCCGTCCAAGGTATTCTTACATTCTTTTTTTTTTTGCACCCTCTTTCTTTTTAATTAGCACATAATAAGAATAATACAAACAAATTATAATAATGATTTACAAATTTATTTTGGGCACTTAAAAATAGCAGAAATCCACACTTTGTGGCTTTATTGCTGATGAAATACAACACAACAACAGCAACAACAACGTCAACAACATCAACAACAACAGAAACCACAAGTGCGCCAGCATCTCACACCATAATTATCCGTCAACATCATTTACTCGGGGACAAACAGAAGAAAGCCCAGCAAAGACACGCCAGCCGATGTTTGCTCCAACACTTACCGTGTGTGCAATCTCGTGAGCAACGATGAACGTCACCGTATATTTGTTGTGGCTGGATGACACGTGACGGTCGTAAAGCAGAGCAGTCTCCCGATATACGACCAGGCCCCAGTTTTCCATGGCTCCGGCGCTAAAGTCGGGCACCGCAACGTGATCTGGAAGATAATTGTTCCTAAAAAATAACATGGTAATGAAGTCTAAATAGATACCTCTTTGGCCCCATGCTTAGAATTCAGCCCTTCCACTGCATAATCATCGGAATGGACTTGGGCGGAATTATCTGCTGGGCGGTGCAAAAAAGGCACCGGAATGATTTGGTTTCTTTTAAATGTAACACGCTTTAGAGCCTCTGATGGAGTTGAGGGAAAAAATGGGAACATTTACATGTCATTAAAGCCTGCTGGGAATATGCTGCTGGGGCAACTTTATAGAGGGAATAAATGATATAGGAGGACTGTCGATCATTGTTGCTCTGACAGATGTAATAAAGCTATCTGAGTGTCCAGGACCTTGCAGAACTAGCAAAAGGACCGTCCTAGAAAAACGTACACGCAAAATTGCAAACGTGAGATAAGATGTAAATGAAATGTGCTGGGAAAAGGTTACATTTGTGACTCGGTTATGTGCGCCATATAAAATGACTATCAAGAGTCTAGAAAAGGACTCCTGCAGGATTGATGCCATCAAAGGAGACAAACCCAAATACTTTTCCGACCGGCGACGAAGTCGTCTCCGGCGAGCCAGTAGACGACCCGGTCGTCGATATGCTATAAACTTTATGGTCATATTTTATGTTGTATTTAACACTTATTGTACTCAGGTTTACTGCAATTACCCCTTATTTACTTCATTACTTATTTTGTTGTTGTTTGTAAATTACTTACCTGCTTTGGGCACTACATCAGCAGTTCCAAAATAATCCGTGAAGAAGCCGTAACATGATTTAGCAAATTCTAGAGCATACTCCGTCTGACTGTAGGCGTCTGGTCGAGCCCAGATTCTCAGCTGGAAGGAAAAGGATACTGATTAAATGGGATTACAAGTCTTACTTGAGAGCGCAGTTGGTTGACGCTCGACTGTCGCGGCTTATTTCTTGTGTTTGATTCCAAATCTACCTGTGTCGGTTCCCCACGGTTGGGGTGGGGGGAGGGGGATGGAGGACAGACCCACTGCAACCCGTAGCAATGATGTCGTATTATGGATGTTTTCTTCGAACTCGAAGTGCATATGCCAGGAGGACAGGAGGACAAGGAACAATCAGTCTACATATAAATACGCTAGATGCAAAACGGATGCGATTCTTACATTCTCCGTCCCCAGGTGGGACGAATTTTTCGTTACTTTGAAGCCCCACCCTGGTTGTTGCTGGGGGCCCTAATATAACCTAACGATTGTTTGTGGGACCTATACACGGGTGATCCTTACCCGAATGGTGGCACTTTGTGTCACCGGATGTTTATCGCTCAGTTTGATGTCCTGGTGGGGTAAAAAACGTCATTCCGATGCCAGTGACAAATTCAAGTTCTGGTACGAGACCAAATTCAGAAGTGAACGAGCAACCAGAACTTTCCACCGGAGCTTACACACGAGAGACGATTTCTGACAGCTTTTTGTCGGCACAAGCAACAATGTCAGCGTGCAGACTGGTCCTGATGCTGATGATCGACAGGTACAGAGAAGTATGATCGCTCATGCCAGAGGGCACGCTAGTTCTTCATCCTCCTCCTCTTCTTCTTCTTCTTCTTCTCCTTCTTCTTCTTCTTCTTCTTCTTCTTCTTCTTCTTCTTCTTCTTCTTCTTCTTCTTCTTCTTCTTCTTCTCTTCTTCTTCTTCTTCTCTTCTTCTTCTCTTCTTCTCCTTCTCTTCTTTTCTTCTTCTTCTTCATCTCTTCTTCTTCTTCTTCTTCTTCTTCTTCTTCTTCTTCTTCTTCTCTTTTTCTTCTTTTTCTTCTTTTCTTTCTTCTTCTTCTTTCTTCTTCTTCTTCTTCTTCTTCTTCTTCTTCTTCTTCTTCTTCTTCTTCTTCTTCTTCTTCTTCTTCTTCTTCTTCTTCTTCTTCTTCTTCTTCTTCTTCTTCTTCTTCTTCTTCTTCTTCTTCTTTCTTCTTCTTCTTCTTCTTCTTCTTCTTCTTCTTCTTTCTTCTTCGTCTTCTTCTTCTCTTCTTCTTCTTCTTCTTCTTCTTCTTCTTCTTCTTCTTCTTCTTCTTCTTCTTCTTCTTCTTTTAATTCCTCCGGTTACCTCATTGAAGTGGCAGTGGGTACCAGGATATTCTCATCAGATGACAAAACCATCTAATCTGTTGTTTAAATTAACTGTAAAACCGATTTCAGCCCGGACTCGGTCTTGCAAGTTTTTCTTTTCTGTACAAATCTCAGCTCTATTACGATTTGTTTGCCAGCTCAGACAAAAGTATGTTTGAAACTGGTAGCACCGAGTTGGCTCTACCCCCATCGTCTCCCCTCCTCCAGACCATCACCTTTTTTTTTTTTAAATTAACAAACACAAATTAGGTTTTAAGATTTGCCTCGGCAGACATATGTATTCTTTCTGTGTCTAAAGTAGTGTTAGTTGTCTGAGTACTGACTGTCTGACGTTTAACCCCACTAGGTCATCACACCAAGCGACAAACACCCGGTGACACAAAGTGCCATCATTCAGATGATGATCACACTGGGACAGGTCACAGCAATCCGGTTCAACTATTACGTTATATTAGGGCCCCAGACCACAGCTTTAAAACTACAAAAATATTGCACCTCGTATTGGGACGGCGATATGCTATATTACACTATGGTCATGTTTCACCTCAGATGGAAGAATCGATAGAGAAATAAACATACGATGTGCAAAAATAAATCAGATTATTGGGACAGTTAACCTCGCTTCTGACGCTAGAATGATTCCTCTGTCAGCAAAGCAAATCTCAAAAGAACGCTTTTTTTGTGTGCCGAAATTGTACTACCAGTGTCAAACATGGACCCTTACTACAACTAGCGAGGGAAGATGGTAACAACAGAGATGAGATGTCTTAGGAGAGCTGCCTGTGTGACAAGAAGAAATAAAATCTACAATGAAGAAATTAGAAGAAGACTAGGACTGAAACCAGTCAAACAATTCATTAAAGAACAACAAATGAGATGGCTTGGCCACCTGACGAGAATGCTCAGGTACCAACTGCCATAGAGAACTACGCTGAAGAAATATAATGAACACAGTACAAGGGGAAGACCACGCAAGAGATGGAGCGACACCATCAAGAGCAACCTAACAGAAATGAACACCACCTTGTACAATGCATTGAAAAAAAGCGCACAAATGATTCTTACGTCTCCCATAAACACCTCGCTAAGGTAGGTGGTGGAAAAGGACGAGTAGAAGATACGCTACATCTATTGTCTGAGCACAGGAGTTGATTTTGCACATCGTACGTTGGTTTGCACCTGATTATGGTGATTTAAAATCTACATCTATGCCAGAACAAAAAACGAAATTCAACTAAAATTATACATTCTCGATGAAATAGAAATAACGGAACGAAATGCTAGATGCCAATATTGGTAATTGAAATATATTGATCATGTAATTTATGAAACATATATGATATATAACGACACTGATTGCGTTGCAAAAATGTTGCAAAAATGTAACTAACAAAGGAGGGACCGACCTTCAACTCACATTTAAAAATGGCATTCATTTTGCTGTAGCCGCCTAATGTAAATTCGGAAATGGCAGTTGAAGAAGGAATGCATTTATTTCTCTGAAACATTAGTGAGGTTCTTTAAGAAGAGAGAACTAAACATTCCTTAGTGAATCGAGAGATGAGGAAACGATACCGGCATTGGATAGGACACTGGCGTGAAAAAAGTTCTTTCTTACAAGATGTTACAATGTCTTTCTCCTTATCAGATCTTTGGAAACAAGCAACGGAATTAGTAGAAAAAGAAGATTATTATGGCCTAGAGAGAATGAGGCCCCTTTGTGTAACCAGAGGGTCTGGCCGGCTCACTACACTCAGAGGAAAGGCAAGACGGACATATAACCAGATTGCGACTGATACCATCAGTATTGGAACTCTAGGCTGGCTGCTGAAGATGAGGACGGAGCACGCTGGGAATGCCCCGAATGCTGTGATGTCAATTCTTGACTAACTCAACTCAACTCTACTCTCCTTATCAACTACCCCCCCCCCCCCCCCCCCCCCCCAAGAGAAAGAAAACTATTAATTTTTTTAAATGTCTGTAATGAGCTGGGTAGCCGCCAGGGTGTAGTGGCTAGACGCTCGCTTGAGAGTCGGAAGGTTGTGGTTTAGATTCTGTCGGAGCTAGACATTAAAAAAAAACGACCCTGGCTCCAAGGATGGTCCAGCCTCAAACGGGTAGCAGGTAATGTTCTAGGAAGTAAAGATACTGACCACATCACCCACCAAGTGCTGACTGGTCTATAAAATACAGGTCTAGCCCTATATGCCTAATACACCTGAAGGCAAGGAAAAGGGTCCTTTGATAAGTTGTCTTCAAGTTCGTGGCCACCACTGTTAAAATGTCTGGATTGCTCAACTGGCTGTACAAGTAAACAAGCATTCTGCAGGAAAACCTTATCTCTGAGATCCCAAGGGGAGCTGCGTGGTCTCCACCTCGAGTGCTGGAGGTTCCGGGTTCAACCCCCGGTGAGAGCTGGGATTTTTTCACGTGGACTTGGACATAGTAATTCTCCCTAGTTTCTGGGTAGTGAGATGGGACGCCTGTGTGCATTGTTGCGCACGTAAAAAAAAAAAAAATCCCTTGGCGGTTGAAAATCGAAAAGAGTAGCTTAATGGCGCTGCCCGAAAGGGTTTAAGTTAAACGTTAAGTGAAAAGGATCGACTTCATTACACCGAATTTCATCCCATATAGCAGTCTCTCTCTCGCTCGCTCCCTCTGCCAAAAGCATCACACAAAGCAGGAACTCAGTAGCTCCAGCGGTGATCCCCAGACAGCTCCCAAACGTTGCACTAATAAAACGATAGTTCTCAATGTGTGTTTTAGGGCACCATTGAAGAAGAAAACAAGAAATCCCCCTTCCCCCTGCCCCCAACAAAATTTACTTGGGTATCCCTTTACAGGATTTTGCAGAACCAACCCCATAATTTTTTGGCTGTTGTGTTTTTTCTAGGCAAATTAACACCCAGTAGTTGGCCAATGTTTCCTGGACCGTCGGCTTCTCGAGACCACAGCTGGGATCGAATCCGGCACCTCGGCATTTCGAAACGCGTTCGCAACGCCTAGGCCACAGACTCTGACCCCCACCCCTTTTTCGCCCCAACAAGCATGTCGTAAAAGCCGACTAAAAGGGGTGTTTCATTCGACGTCAAAGTGCATTTGCCTGAGAAGAAAGGCACTTACAGTCTCAGTATTAATAAGCCAGATTCGTAAAACCGCATTCTAACTCAAGTTCTGGAACAAGACCAAAGTCCAAAAGTGGACGAACAACCAAAACTTTCAGCCAGGCTCTTTACAGGCGGTGAGCGTTAGGAAGGAGTTTAAATGAAAGACGCAGCCGTAAAACGAGCATATGACCATCAAGGCGCGAGGAAAACGGCTGGATCACCTCACCAGCGAAACCCCAAAGTCGAAAAGGTGCCAAAGGTGAGTTCCAAAAAAGCCTTACCTCATAGCCATTGTCAAAGGTATAGTTCCTTGACTTGAAGTCCGACACCACAATCGCCAACAGGTAGGTAGACATCACAGGTGTGGTCTGGTAGTCCGTCTGGAGCCAATCTGAACTGAGTATAGTCGTTGAAACAGGGGGCATGTTTGTTAGGGCCGTGTATCCTGGGTGAGTAGACAAGTTCTTTAACACATTATAATGGTAACTATGTATGAAAATTGCTGTCTGGTATATCACAGACATGACAGCTGTCTGGTATATCACAGACATGACCTAGCGGTCTAGTATATTATAGACATGACCTAGCTGTCTGGTATATCACAGACACGACCTAATTGTCTGGTATACCATAGACATGACCTACCTGTCTGGTATATCGCAGAAATGACCTAGTTGTCTGGCATATCATAAACATGACCCACCTGTCTGGTATATCACAGACATGACCTAGCTGTCTGGTACATCACAAACATGGCCTAACTGTTTGGTATATCACATACATGGCCTACCTGTCTGTTATATCATAGACATGACCTAGCTGTCTAGTAAATCAATGACATGACCTAGTTGTCTGGTGTATCATAGATATAAACTAGCTTTCTGGTAAATCAATGATATGACCTAGCTGTCTGGTTTATCACAGGCATGACCGAGCAGTCTGGTGTATCATAGACATTACCTAGCTGTCTGGTAAATTAAAGACATGACTTAGCTGTCTGGTGTATCACAGACATGGCCTAACTGTCTGGTATATCATAGACATGACCTAGCTTTCTGGTAAATCAGTTACATGACCCAGCTGTCTGATTTATCACAAGCATGACCTAGCGTTCTGGTAAATCATAGACATAACCTAGCGGTCTGGTGTATCATAGACATGAATTATCTGTCTGGTGTATCATAGATATTACCTAGCTGTCTTGTATATTACAGACGTTGCCTATTTATCTGATACTGATTAAAAACACAACTGTCATGACTGGTATACTGGTATACTATATACATTACTTTACTGTCAGCTATACCATATATATTACTTTACTGTCTGGTATACATATTCATTGCTTTACTGTCTGGTATACCATAGATATTATCTTACTGTTTGTCATGCCATAGACATTACCTTATTGTCTGGCATACCATATACATTACCTGACTGTCTGGCATACCATAGATATTACCTTACTGTCTGGTATACCATAGATATTATCTTACTGTCTGGCATACCATAGATATTACCCTACCGTCTAATATACCATAGATATCACCTTACTGTCCGCTATACCAGAGATATTACTTTACTGTCTGGTATACCAGATATATTACCTTACTGTCTCGCATACCATAGATATCACCTTACTGTCTGGCATACCAGATATATTACCTTACTGTCTGGTATACCATAGATATCACCTTACTGTCTGACATACCATAAATATTACCTTACTGTCTGGTATACCATAGATATTACCTTACTGTCTGGCATACCATAGATATTACCTTACCGTCTGGCATACTTTACTGTTTTGTATACAATAGACATTGCCTTATTGTCTGTTTTGCCACAGAATTACCTTGCTGTCTGGTATACCATGAGCATGATGGTATTGTCTGATATACCATTAATATTACCCTTTTGTCTGGTTTACCACAGACATAATTTAATAATGTCTCGAATTTTACAGACACGACCTACCTGTCTGGTATATTATGGACAGTGTAAACTTGGCTTTAAAATTAGGTTCGTCAAAACACGGGAAGACACTTCTTGCGTCCATTGTCTGAAGTTGGGACACTGCCAGATTTCTGGAGATGATAAAAATGCGGTCGATTTTAGATTGTTAAATATGTTAAGTTAGTTGCGTATCCTTTACAGGACGTTGCAGAACCAATCCCATCATTTGTGTTTAACCCTTGTGGTTTTTCTAGGCAAGTTTAACGTTCCATAGTTTGCCATTGCTGTCTCAACAGTCAGCTCTCGGTACCACTGTCGAAACCAACGCAAGACAAATTGTTTGCAGCTGGAATCGAACCCGAAATCACGGTATTGCGAGGAACGATTGCAACACATAAGCCACAGATGAGTTGAACATGTGCGCATAAGAATATCGTATTTTGTTAGGAAAAAAAAAAAGAATGACGTACTTGTTGTCACGATACGATCTCAGTGATTCCAGAAGTTAGTACTTGTAATAAGTTCTTCTGGTTATTGAGAGACAAGAGACTATGCCCTTAAACCAAATGTTACTTTAAACCGTATTGATTTAAATGTTTCCAGTCCTTAGTCCAGACAAAGCGACCCAACCTTGGGTAATATTACCTAAAACTTTACACTGTAGCTAGGAATTCTATTCTCATGCCAGTGTCAGAATGTTATCTCCTGACCACACTGTAGAGGCCAGCGAACGGGGAACTTTGTATCACACATCACACCTGAGCTGGACCGTAGGTCATAAAGATTACCTAACACGAGTTGAGCGAACTCTAGACATTGAGGCGACGAGAAGTTTAAAGTTTAACACGTCAGTGTAATTCCCCGGAGAACAGGTGTTTGCAAATTAGGGATGTTTGATCTTGGTCCAGTAGGAAACACAATGGCTCCACTGACCGTCTTTTCACACCGGCTAGTTAGATTCGTTGTAAACTAGATTGGGTCACTTAAGAATGTTTGCTCTAGGGATGTCAGTCCAGAATTGACTGACAGGCCACTTGTTAGCTAATTTGATTTGATAGGTACTTCAGAGGCGGAGCTTAAGTCATCGTCTTGAGGGTTGGGTAGAACTAAGTAAAGGGAGGAGTTTAATTTGGACAATAGATTGATACTTATACTTCGAGCCTGTGGAATTCCCGTCATTAATCGCAGCCTGCCGGCAAACAAACACAGATCGACCTAAAAGGTAAATTTTACGGTCGCATTCTGTTTTGGCGATGGATGGAAAGTTCCCAGGTAAGAGAAAATATTAATTTTAATCTTGTATACATAGGTTAGGGAGTTAAGCTTAGTCTATACTACCTTTTCCTAATTTGTCTGCACATTCTGCTTGAAATAGTTCTTTGTGAATATCTCAGTTAGGGAACTGCTAAACTATTCCTATTTCTTGTATGTTTGTGTCACATGTTTTTCAGTGTATGTTTTCATATGTATAAAATAAGATGTGAACAATGACATTTGATATAATGAAATGTAATTATATTGTTTCCACCATCTACCAAAATATGAGTTTGGACTGTGGGAAATGATGCCCAAATATGTGCAGGGATGCTGCTACGTTTGTGTGCCCACCATGTGCTCACTTAATGTGTTCGCCTACACAGGGGATTGATAACCCCAGGGGAAGAATGATGGGTGTATAGAATTCACTGCCACTGAAAGATAATATTCAGGACAGTGTGCACCTATAAAGTGTTGGAGTTTTCAGCACATAACCTGCTCCATGTGGTCATGTAATATCAATGTCAGCCAGTTGGAAGTCTGAGTGATGACGGACAACAGACTTAGAAAGTCAACTATCATGACATAGCATTGGAGGGAAGGCAGGATATGTGACGCCCATGTAAGACAAAAGACCTTCAGACTAGACTGGAGAGAATGTGGAATATGAGGAGGAGTGATGGGATATATTTTATTATTCTATGTTATATTAATTGATACATGTATTCTTAGTATAAGTCAAGATACTACACGTATGTGTTTTGTTTCCATGATTACAGCGCCCATGTGACGATCAGTCCATGAAGTAGCCTACATTGTGTTTGACTCGGCCAGCTGGGAACCAGGTGGAGAACGAGGTGGGGATGAAGTGGAGAATAAGCTGAAACAGGCAGACAACAGGCAAGGAAGAGTTGGACAAGCTTGACAGTTTGTAGTGAGTCATTTTCTCCTCATTAATTTATGCCCGATAGATGACGTCAGTAATAGATGTAAGACGAATGTTTTGACTGGCTGAGATAACACGAGATTTATGTCTTGAGTTTCATGAGAGACATCTGAAAGTCAGGTTTTATGTGAAACATGATTGTTCACAGGATTTGTGTGAAATGTGAATTATCACGGGCCAGACACGACTTTCAACAGTGGGAAATTCGTGAGAATGAATCTAGAATATTCTAGAACAGGTTAGATCAGAGGGCTATATAATAGCGAAGAAAAGGTTTGTGGGCAGTCTCGTTTTGGACCCAGGAACAGTGTGCATGGACAGCGGTGGATGATGTATGAATTCAGCAGATGTTTTTGAGTGAATTTGTTCCAGTCCAACTTGGCGAAGAAAGCTGGCCAGTAACATGTCTGCCGGTCGTCTGAGTGTATCTGTCAGGACAGCTGTTGTGTTTTTCGTTTACGATGTTAGTGTAAATCGATTGGGATTTCTGCTTGAAGGTAATAATTGATTCTTGCATTATAATGTGTGCCTGGACAGTTGTCAAGTTCATGTGCCGGCTGTGTAAGCCGCGAGTGGAAGAATAAAGTACTGGAACAGTATCGTGTTGTTTCCCAGTCGTCCATTTTTTCTGCTCGACGTGTGATGTCGGTTTTGTGAGTTGGCAGCGAGCGTGCG